ATGTTGGTGGTGTTGCTGGTGATGTTGGTGGTGATGATGGTGCTGTTGGTGGTGATGTTGGTGATGGTGATGTTTGTGGTGGTGATGTTGGTGGTGGTGATGTTGGTGGTGGTGATGGTGCTGTTGGTGGTGGTGATGTTGGTGGTGGTGGTGATGTTGGTGGTGGTGATGTTGGTGGTGGTGATGTTGGTGGTGATGTTGGTGGTGTGTTGGTGGTGGTGATGGTGGTGTTGTTGGTGGTGGTGGTGGTGTTGGTGGTGGTGGTGATGTTGGTGGTGGTGATGTTGGTGGTGGTGATGTTGGTGGTGCTGTTGGTGGTGGTGGGGATGTTGGTGGTGCTGTTGGTGGTGGTGATGGTGGTGGTGATGTTGCTGGTGATGTTGGTGGTGGTGGGGATGTTGGTGGTGATGTTGGTGGTGGTGGTGGTGTTGGTGGTGGTGATGTTGGTGGTGGTGGTGATGTTGGTGGTGATGTTGGTGTGTGATGTGGTGGTGATGTTGGTGGTGGTGGGGATGTGGTGGTGATGTTGGTGGTGGTGATGTTGGTGGTGGTGATGGTGGTGGTGATGTTGGTGGTGGTGGTGATGTTGGTGGTAGTGGGGATGTTAGTGGTGGTGATGTTGGTGGTGGTGGTGGTGATGTTGGTGGTGGTGATGGTGGTGTTGGTGGGGATGTTGGTGGTGATGTTGGTGGTGGTGGTGTTGGTAGTGGTGATGTTGGTGGTGGTGATGTTGGTGGTGGTGATGGTGCTGTTGGTGGTGGTGATGTTGGTGGTGGTGGTGATGTTGGTGATGTTGGTGGTGGTGATGGTGGGGGTGGTGGTGATGTTGGTGGTGGTGGTGGTGATGTTGGTGGTGGTGTGGTGAATGTTGGTGTGGTGGTGATGTTGGTGGTGTGATGTGGTGGTGCTGTTGGTGTGGTGATGTTGGTGGTGGTGGTGATGTTGGTGGTGGTGGTGGTGATGTTGGTGGTGATGTGGGTGGTGGTGGTGATGTTGGTGGTGATGTTGGTGGTGTTGATGGTGATGTTGGTGGTGGTGATGGTGCTGTTGGTGGTGGTGGTGATGTTGGTGATGGTGATCTTTGTGGTGGTGATGTTGGTAGTGGTGATGTTGGTGGTGGTGATGTTTGTGGTGGTGATGGTGCTGTTGGTGGTGGTGATGTTGGTGGTGGTCGGGATGTTAGTGGTGATGATGTTGGTGGTGGTGGTGATGTTGGTGGTGGTGATGGTGATGTTGGTGGTGATGTTGGTCGTGATGTTGGTGTTGGTGGTGATGTTGGTGGTGGTGATGGTGATGTTGGTGGTGGTGATGGTGCTGTTGGTGGTGGTGGTGATGTTTGTGGTGGTGATGTTTGTGGTGGTGATGTTGGTGGTGGTGATGTTGGTGGTGGTGATGGTGCTGTTGGTGGTGGTGATGTTGGTGGTGGTGATGCTGGTGGTGGTGACGGTGGTGGTGATGCTGGTGGTGGTGGTGGTGATGTTGGTGGTGATGGTGGTGGATGGAGCGTTTGTGTGCACTAATATAAATTACGGTGTCAAAAATCATTACGTGAAAGGATTTGGCCTTTAAAAGGTAGCAAATCATTTATTTGCAAGGCAATTTTAACAAATTGCACGAACATGAACCATTCAAAAACGTGTCATAACGTGACTGATCAAACATCACGAAAACGTCTGAGGCCTGCGCCCAGAACACTTACCGCACTCCCGGTCAAAGTGCGCCGTCTAATCTGGGAAACGGGGGCATTACAGGAGCAAGGTAAAATTTAATTTAACAACAACAACAATAATAATATTTGGACAAGTTCGGCAGGCCGGATTAAGAATCCCAACTGGCCGTCCTTTGCCCACGTCTGGCCCAAAGCGTGTAGAGACGGCGCTACGGGATCGCTTCATGACGCAGGAGCGAAGTGTGACGTGGCCCTTGCAGTACCGTGAGCGACTCACGAGGGGGGTGCCCTTCACCCCGCAGCTGATAGACCACGGCTGAGGTTGATGACGGACCGGTTGAGGCTCACGGCGTTCCTCTGAGGCCGAATGAATCAGCCTCGCCCCCTCCGCTGCACTCCGGGCTCTCACGTAATGCATCCTGTACACGTGAGACTATGCACGATATCGAATCGAACGTCTCTGAATATGGATTCAACTGTCGCCGGTTCCAACGTGCAAGCCTCATCTCCCCTCTTACACCAGGCACCGCCTCCGTGCGCTCTGCGCTGCAGGAGCCGAAGCTTTCTGATCGAAGCAGCGAGTTGACCTTGTCCTTGTGTAGAGGTCAACCCTCGATTCGTCTTTTGCTTCGCCTTCTCCTCTTGCTGCCTCCAAGATCTGGAACTTACTTCCCTCAACCAGCTGTCCACGTCCAAGCTAAATACATTTCCTCCTCTTCTCTGCCTATGGCCGTCTCTCTCTTAAAATACCGGACAAATATCACGCCTCGTTGTTACCGGTTAGGTGCACGCGTCTGTTGTGGTATAGCGTCGTGAGATTCGGTTGCATGTAGATGCTCTCTAAATTAAAAATCGTGTTAACTTATTCTGTACAAGCTACACCACTGTCGTCATGTATAATTATCACACACACACACCATTCACGCTATTCGCCACCGCAGAGTTAATCGTGTAGGCAATGTCACAACAGTAGTGCAGCTACCGACCTACTCACCTACAAAGAGTGCAATATAGCTAGGAGCTGATATGATTAGTCGATTATGTGAATTGACCAACTTATAACTTTTGTGTGCATGTATGTTGTTGAACTTCTTTCACGCTGTACGGTAGTTAACCGTGCCAATCAGAGATGTGGGGGAAGGACGAAAGACTAAACACAAAGCAGTTAAATTTTGATTTAAAAGTTTCGTGACTGCAGTAATTCATATTCTTAGCTCTTTCGGTAAAGTCACGTTGAAGGGAAACAATAAAGTAATAAAATATATATAAAACAATAAAAATCATGATGACCGTTTGTGTTATGGTCGAAACGTCGTGATAATTTTTATTGTTTTATATATATTTTATTATTTTATTGTTTCCCTTCAACGTGACTTTACCGAAAGAGCTAAGAACACAAAAAGCAGTTCTAAAGAAATGAGTTTTAAATCTAGATGTGAATGTGCATAGCTCCAGTGGCTTCCTAATACGGTAATAAAAAGTATTCCAGGCGGCTGCAGAAACACACCTGACAGCGTGCGACGCCGTGACCGTCTTTGTTCGGTGGCTGAGCCAAAAGGCACTGCGAGGGTGACCGCAGTTTGCGTGAAGGTTCCTTAACCAGAGGAACGCGTGGTCAGTAACTCGGGTGGATTAAAAAACAGCGACCATTTCAGCGTCGCGCTTCCCGAAGGTAGGAAACCCCCTACAAGCCACGCCCAGCATGATACAACTGATTATGCCGCGCCCATAACCTCCCATCCAGTGGCACATATGCGGACAATTTTTTTAAAAAACCAATTGTTATCCAATTTGTCGAGTAATGAAACCGATATATTTGGTTGAGTGATCGACGACTTGAGAAATATGATGATATCCCAGCTCTAATTATAACTGCAGTTATTTAAGAGATGGCCAAAGCAAAATTCATCACCCATAATTCATGACACAATTTATAAATTCATATATATAAAATATTTTACTTAATTAAAACCATGCGATATATTTATTTCGTTATTGAGCTGCGTGAATTGTAAAACATGCACTCCATTGATTTAAAATATCCATTTAAAAATTGTATCCTTTTAGCAACTTGATCAAAACCTATTTGCGATTTGGCATCTTCATGAGATCAAAGATGAATCGGCCCACTTTGAAACACAAGCAAAATGAATATCTGAATATGAATGGCGTGACCAAATAAAACATATCCTGGATCGTTTTGGTGAACGCTACACTAACAACAATACTCATTTCTATACAACGTCTGGCTCGCGTGATTACTCTGTGTGGTTCATAAGGTGGGGGGCGTGTGCTGCTTTGATGATGGCAATTCAACCCCAGACCCACCACCCTCCCCAACAACTCGCTCCAACCATTCTGCGGTCATGATTTGGGACTGTGATTCCATTTGCAAGTAAACTCACATTTCAACAATGAGGGTTTGAAAGCATTAAGCATTAGCTCTGTCTGCATGTCTGCTCTGTTGTAAAGATGATCCAATATGAACACAATTGTAGTACAACAGCTCTGTTGCTGTTAGGGACCTAACAATGTTGAAAACTGGCCAAAATTGATTAAACGGCCCACTCATGGTCCAGAGCAGAACTCGGTACCACCTAAGGTAGCAAAACTTAAGTCGTACCCATTTATTTGGATGGAAAATGAAAGTAAATTACTTGATAGTCTCACTCATTGCATTTGTTTATCACTGGCCACGTAGAGAAATTGAAACTGCTCAATTTAGGCCACCTCACGTGGTACCGACAAAGGAGACATCTCATGGGCTATGAAAAAATAAGAATAGGTTGTATCCTTTCTGGCAATAAAACAGATCTTAAGATTCATTGAAGAAGGTTTCTGTTTGGTGTTTGAACATCTAAACACCCGTTTTGTTGCCAAAAAAGGATCAAATCTATTCTTATTTTGTCATACTTTGATACCGGCAAAACGGTCTCATTTTGAAGCGTCTCATGGACTATTGGATGGGGAGAAAAAAACCGGCGCTAAAAGTCAGTGCCGACCTCTCCTGTCGTGCCCAGTGACGTCATCACGGGCGAAGTTCACCGCGCGAAGTCAAACGCCGCTCGAAACGCAAAATCATCGCTCGGTGAACATTTCCGAGGACAAACAAACGCATGCCGGGAACCGTGTGAGTTTGTGTTTCTTGTTTCCTCTGCGCAATGTGGGGGAGGGCTTCATCCAGCAGTGGATTGACAAAAGCGCTGTATGCATACTGCACAGGCTACGCTAACGTCACATTTAGGCCCATGGACCGAACAAACGCGTCTCTCTTTCTCCATCCGTCTCCACTCTCTCTCTCTTCCTCTCTTCACTGCTGGCCTGTAGGTTTGGGCCGAGCGAGTTCCTGCCGGGGATTTGGCTTTTCAGGAGCTGATTCCCCCCGTGGCTTTGTCGGCACGAGGCGACCGCGCGGAGTGTCAAGGGCTCCACCGGGCCCCAAGGCGCTGCCCCAGCACCACCGTAGTAGCCAAACCATCGGTGCTCGGCATGGCCTGCATGAAGGTCCTGCTGGACCTCATGTTGCGCACGGGGTACAGCATCGTCCAGGAGAGCAGACAGAGGAAGTTCGGACCGCCGCCCGACTGGCAGGGGCCCCCTCCCGCCCATGGCTGCGAGGTGTTTCTGGGGGGGATCCCGCGCGACCTCTACGAGGATGAGCTGGTGCCCGTGCTGGAGATGGTGGGGAAGCTCTACCAGCTCCGCCTCATGATGGATTATAGCGGAGAGACCCGCGGCTATGCGTTCGCTACCTACGCGACGCTCGCCCAAGCCACGGATGCCGTCAAGAAACTCAACAAATTCGAGATCCGTCCCGGACGCCGCATTGGAGTCCACTTCAGCGTGGACAATCGCCACCTCTTCATTGGGGCGCTGCCAAAGGACAAGAAGCGAGCGGAGGTGATGATGGCGATGAGCGGTGCCACGGAGGGCGTGGTGGACGTCACGATGAGCGTCTGTTACCGGGACAAAACCCTCAACCGAGGCTACGCGTTCATCGAGTACCGGAGCCATCATGCGGCCGCCATGGCCCGGCGGAAGCTCCTTCGAATCAACTTGCAGCTATGGGGCCGGACCATCAAGGTGGACTGGGCGTGGCCAGAGGCGTGGCTAGGCCCCGCCTCCGGCCACGCCCTCTCGTGAAACCTTGGAGCAGGTTACACGAGAGGGCGTGGCCAGAGGCGTGGCTAGGCCCCGCCTCCGGCCACGCCCTCTCGTGGAACCTTTTGAGCAGGTTACCGGAGTAACTCGGCTAGCCCCACCTGTTGCCTTTGCCCCAAATGCGCCTCCTTCCCTGATTGGTTGTTACCTCTGTGGCTGTACCTGTTAAGCCCTTGCCAGGCCAGCAGGTGTCACCCTGTCATGTCAGCAGGTGTCACCCTGTCATGTCAGCAGGTGTCACCCTGTGATGTCAGCAGGTGTCACCCTGTGATGTCAGCAGGTGTCACCCTGTGATGTCAGCAGGTGTCACCCTGTGATGTCAGCAGGTGTCACCCTGTCATGCAAGCAGGTGTCACCCTGTGATGTCAGCAGGTGTCACCCTGTGATGTCAGCAGGTGTCACCCTGTGATGTCAGCAGGTGTCACCCTGTGATGTCAGCAGGTGTTACCCCTTGTCATGTCAGCAGGTGTCACCCTGTGATGTCAGCAGGTGTCACCCTGTCATGTCACCAGGTGTTACCCTGTGATGTCAGCAGGTGTCACCCTGTGATGTCAGCAGGTGTCACCCTGTGATGTCAGCAGGTGTCACCCTGTGATGTCAGCAGGTGTCACCCTGTGATGTCAGCAGGTGTTACCCCATGTCATGTCAGCAGGTGTCACCCTGTCATGTCAGCAGGTGTCACCCTGTCATGTCAGCAGGTGTCACCCTGTGATGTCAGCAGGTGTCACCCTGTGATGTCAGCAGGTGTTACCCCATGTCATGTCAGCAGGTGTTACCCTGTGATGTCAGCAGGTGTCACCCTGTCATGTCAGCAGGTGTCACCCTGTCATGTCAGCAGGTGTCACCCTGTGATGTCAGCAGGTGTCACCCTGTGATGTCAGCAGGTGTCACCCTGTCATGTCAGCAGGTGTCACCCTGTCATGTCAGCAGGTGTCACCCTGTGATGTCAGCAGGTGTCACCCTGTGATGTCAGCAGGTGTTACCCTGTCATGTCAGCAGGTGTCACCCTGTGATGTCAGCAGGTGTCACCCTGTGATGTCAGCAGGTGTTACCCTGTCAGCAGGTGTCACCCTGTGATGTCAGCAGGTGTCACCCTGTGATGTCAGCAGGTGTTACCCTGTGATGTCAGCAGGTGTCACCCTGTCATGTCAGCAGGTGTCACCCTGTCATGTCAGCAGGTGTCACCCTGTGATGTCTGCAGGTGTCACCCTGTCATGTCAGCAGGTGTCACCCTGTCATGTCAGCAGGTGTCACCCTGTCATGTCATCAGGTGTCACCCTGTGATGTCAGCAGGTGTCACCCTGTGATGTCAGCAGGTGTCATCCTGTCATTGCACTTTAATGAAAACCGACAACAGAATCCTTGAAGAAAAAACGAATTCAGGTGTTTGACATGTCGACGCCATTTCGTTTTGAAAATGTAGGGGAGAAAAATATATATTGTTCACATCGCATTCTGTTTTGTCAATAATCTCTGTAACCTGCACCTGCTCTGCAAGCCATGCATTAACCCCTTTCTGTCTCAATTTAATTCCCAGCATGCAATTCTCCAAGCCTCAGATTTTATAAAATCTTTCGCGCAACTTTAATCCTAGTAAATATATTTTTTTCTTTTAAAACACAAGCATTATATTTAGTCTATTGCATGGCTAAAGTATTCTAAGTAAAAATATCAATTGTATTAAACCAATGTTAGATCATCGCTATGATAAATATATTTCTACCCTACAATATACAAATCTACATTGTGCTAATGTTTCAATTCTACTTTTATTAACTTACAAATATAGTGTCTAGGACACATTTTCAAAGAAATATTTTCATGTACCCAGACAATATTTGCATGTGGCCGCATAAAAAACTTGCAGACTGCATACGTAGCTACGACAACAGAATCCTTGAAGAAAAAACTAATTCAGGTGTTTGACATGTCGACGCCATTTCGTTTTGAAAATGTAGCGGAGAAAAATATATATTGTTCACATCGCATTCTGTTTTGTCAATGATCTCTGTAACGTGCGACTGCTCTGCAAGCCATGCATTAACGCCTTTCTGTCTCAATTTAATTCCCAGCATGCAATTCTCCAAGCCTCAGATTTTATAAAATCTTTCGCTCAACTTTAATCCTAGTAAATATATTTTTTTCTTTTAAAACACAAGCATTATATTTAGTCTATTGCATGGCTAAAGTATTCTAAGTAAAAATATAAATTGTATTAAACCAATGTTAGATCATCGCTATGATAAATATATTTCTACCCTACAATATACAAATCTACATTGTGCTAATGTTTCAATTCTACTTTTATTAACTTACAAATATAGTGTCTAGGACACATTTTCAAAGAAATATTTTCATGTACCCAGACAATATTTGCATGTGGCCGCATAAAAAACTTGCAGACTGCATACGTAGCTACGACAACAGAATCCTTGAAGAAAAAACTAATTCAGGTGTTTGACACTGTCGACGCCATTTCGTTTTGAAAATGTAGCGGAGAAAAATATATATTGTTCACATCGCATTCTGTTTTGTCAATGATCTCTGTAACGTGCGACTGCTCTGCAAGCCATGCATTAACGCCTTTCTGTCTCAATTTAATTCCCAGCATGCAATTCTCCAAGCCTCAGATTTTATAAAATCTTTCGCTCAACTTTAATCCTAGTAAATATATTTTTTTCTTTTAAAACACAAGCATTATATTTAGTCTATTGCATGGCTAAAGTATTCTAAGTAAAAATATAAATTGTATTAAACCAATGTTAGATCATCGCTATGATAAATATATTTCTACCCTACAATATACAAATCTACATTGTGCTAATGTTTCAATTCTACTTCTATTAACTTACAAATATAGGACACATTTTCAAAGGAATATTTTCATGTACCCAGACAATATTTGCACGTGCCCACATAAAAAACTTGCAGACTGCATACGTAGCTACGACAACAGAATCCTTGAAAAAACGAATTCAGGTGTTTGACATGTCAACGCCATTTCGTTTTGAAAATGTAGGGGAGAAAAATATATATTGTTCACATCGCATTCTGATGTCAAAACATTTGATTCTTTATAAAATTGAAAAACCCTTGAACAACTTTGCTGCACATGGAGATGTCTGTGCACCGCCTCGTTTCCACAGCCTCTATCCCGGTGCCATTTGTATTTCATGCACATACCGCTGTTAAGAGTTTGATGTTTTATTGATTTTCAATTTTGGTGTTTTTTTGCTGTAATGTTTTTTTGTTACTTTTTTAGTGGAAATAAAGTCCTGAAAAGTCTATTCCTCTCTCTCTCTCTCCACTCTCTGGGCCGAGTCTCTGCCACTTTTGGTTCTGAGTGTCGCATGCTTGGGATCCTTCTCTCCCTCCTCTGTGGATTTAATTTGATTTGCTGATTTACACGTCAACATATTTCAGACTTTTTCCTAATCATTACCAACGTTTCCATGGCCATGCACTTTAGAGTAACTTATTACCTTTTACCACAGCATCATAATATAATTTTCCTGGATCATCGCCTTCATAGCTTTGATCAATCACCAATGGTTTACTGGTTCGTTTTTGTATTTACTTATGCCACCGTCTTTCCCCGTGGGACCATGTGCGTGAAGTTGTGTCGCACATAAACAGAATCTGTTCACATCACGATTTTCCGTACTCGACTGTCAGTTGCCATCTCCGGGGCAATATGCACATTTGTCGACTCGGCGAATCGACTTGATTTCGGGCCCCGTTGGGTCGCCCCTTTTGTGCTTTTGCGTGAGCCGGATTTCAACGCAATTCCCGATCCGCTGTGGTGCCACGGTCTCGGAGCAACTCTGCCATCGCCTCGACTCCCCCGTGCCCCCCCACACCGAGCACGCACCTGCAGCGCGCGCACGTAGTGTCCTGGCGGGGGATTGCCCGGCACGACGGGTTTTCATCCGAAGGGTCTCTGGGATGAAAGTCCCGCGGTTTCCCGGCGCCAGGAGAATGGCCGACCCTCGCAGAGCGAGTCACATTGCGGCGCTCCTGAGTTGGCTTCAAATTGTTTGGGCGCGCGAAGTTTCGCCGGGTCGGCGGCGACGAGTCGCACGCGACGCTCCCCGCCTTCTCGAGCCGCTCGCGGCATCCGTGCGACACCGGCGAGCGCCGCTACGAGGCGGCGATAGGCAAAGTTCCCTTTCGTCTTCGTCCCTCCGACTCTCACGGCGTCCGCGCGACGCCGTGAGCACGGCCGCGAGGTACGTGATGGGGCGTGCGAGCATTTGCGGACTTGGGTAGCGGTAGGCCTAGGGTCGGCTCGTAGAATATTCCCTCCGGGCGGTGCGGGGTTTGCGCCACGAATAAAAGTTAGCAGAGAGCATCGGTGTGGTGCGCGTGTGATTCCCGTGCGGAGCGGCTCCGTGGGCGGATGCGCGGCGAGAGCGAGGGCGGAGCCGCGGCCGGAGCTCGCGCGTTGAGATCATCGCCCGTCGGCGTGGACGCGAGTGGGCCGCGGCGTGCTGCGTCAGCGTCAGCAGTAGTGGGCGCGCGGCGTGCACGGACGCGCATTGAGATAATCGCCCGCGGGTGCGAGACCGTTCGGGCCCCGTGTTAACGACGGCTGCGGTGCCCGCGGATGCTCGTGGAGGTTATCGCTCGCCGGTGCAGGCGCTAGCGTGCCGCTGTCCGCTGCGTTAGCGATAGCCGCGGTGCGCGCGGGGGTGCGTGGGTTTACTCCGTGCGGCCGTGAGCCAGCAGCACGAGTCTGTCCCTCGGAGAGGGCGCTAGCGCGGGGGGCCCGATCGCTCGGTCGGCGGGGGCCCGGCGGGAGCCGACCGACGCGGTGGAGGGGGCGGCGGAAAGGGCGGACGTCGCGCTCCACCTGCCCAGCGAGGGCGGTGGGGTGGACGTCGGCCCCCACACCGCCATGGCCCTGTACACGTTAAAGTATTGAGCACAAACTCAAGGAGCAGGGAAAATGGTAATGTTGCTTGGATTTAATTTTAATATCATTGCAACTGTATAGTTTTGATATGTTTTATTGAAAAACATTCACGTGCATTGGCATGTCCCTCTGTCTCAAACATTAATAATGTATCATCTGCAAATGTCCTTTAGCAATGCAAATGTTTGTTCAACATTGGTATGCAGCTTGAAGAATGATGGAGTCTTATAACTGAAGACACTTTGGAATTTCAATCAAAATTTACAAATAATCCACTCTACCATAAACATGCTACATTCCAGCTAAAGTATAGTAGTATATTACTGTAAAGTAGTATGGTGTATAGCACAGATATTTTGTACAAACCCAGTGAGATGGGAGTGCTGCTTTGATGCATTACGCTTGGATCCGATCTCATGGGTTCAATTCAGGTTAACCCCTAAGGGTACAATTTTATTTTTACAGTTTCAATCGGACCAAGTACCTGGGGAGGTTTATTCCAAGTCAACATGGCTTAAAATCTGCCATGCTGAAATAAAATAGCTGGACGTTATTGCTTCTGACGTGAGTGCAGGACTCGCTATCCATGCCAAGGTGCGGAGGCTCATTTGGGCGACCAAAGGAATTCCGAATGCATGTTACAATAACGTTAATTTCAGATGACTGGATTCATTGGTAGAGTGCTCCAACTTGGGCAGAGATATCTGGCTGGAAAGTGATGTAGTTAAAACGTTTGTCTCGCAGTTTTAAAGGTTGCAATTTCAAGATACAGTTTGGGCATCAGAGCTCAATAAATTGAGTACTATTCTGTGTGAGGTTAACAGGAGTCATCCAATGGAGAGACTGGGCCATGCCATATAAATGTGGAATTTATATCAGTTGACAGGTCAAACGTACTCTTTGTCCTTTTTGGTCACTTTATTATTATAGGCTAGTGGTGTTTGTGTTTTAATCACAGAGATGGGGGGGGGGCATTGCACCTCGCTACACCCATCCACTGCTGACGGTAGAGGTTGTGTCTGTGTGTGTACACACAGACACAGTGTAAACACACACAGTGTACACACACACATTGTACACACACACAGTGTAAACACACACAGTGTACACACACACAGATTGTACACACACAGAGTGTACACACACAGTGTACACACACACAGTGTACACACATACACACAGTGTACACACACACAGTGTACACACACAAAACAAAAAAAACAAAGATCCCCCATATAGCCTTAACAGACTGTAGGGGCAAGTGCTGTTAGCGAGCACCTATGAAGGCCGGAACGGTACACGAGGGGGTGGGTGGCCAGCACCACGCCCGACCGCCTTTGTCTCCCTAGTGGCAATTTTTACACACCGCACCAGGTACTCATTTGAGGCTGAGTTGACCTAGGGGAGGCCTGGGACCGGTTCAGATAATCGTCACTGGTGTTGGCCGTGAGCGGGAATCGAACCCGGGTCGCCAGGTGCATAGCGCAGCGTAGCGCTAACCGGTACACTACCGCTCCCGTACACACACACAGTGTAAACACACACAGTGTACACAGACACAGTGTACATACACACAGTGTACACAAACACACTGTACACACACACAGTGTACACAGACACAGTGTACACACACACAGTGTACACACAGTGTAAACACACACAGAGTAAACACACACAGTGTAAACACACACAGTGTACACACACAGAGTGTACACACACAGTGTACACACACACGCATTGTGTACACACACACACAGTGCACACACACATTGTGTACACACACATTATGTACACACATTGTGTACACACACAGTGTACACACACACAGTGTACACACTGTGCACACACAGTGTACACACACAGTGTACACACAGTGTACACACACACACACAGTGTACACACACTGTGTACACACACACAGTGTACACACACACAGTGCACACACACAGTGTACACACACAGTGTATACAAAATAATGTCCACGTTGTTGTTGTAGCTGAGCCCACGCACCCAAGGGAGGGAGCAATGAAAATGAATCTAAATCAACTTAAACTCCAATCCCGCTCTGTGACGTCACCTCTCAGCATTACCTCATCGGCGTGAAACGCCAGGGGGAGGTGTACCTCGCTAGTGACGTCATGTCACCAAGGTATTACACCGCGCTCTTGAGCGTGACGTCACCTCCGCTTGTGTCACTGCCGATTGCGTTCCAGTGCCAATCCTTATTTGGGCAAAGCTACGCCCAGTGATAGCAACTGATTAACATAATTTATTCGTTAAAGCCGACGAGTTCATTGCCCACGACACATGGGACGAGGCACATTAACATGATTTATTCTCTATTTAGTTACGGAGCTGCTCATTGTGGGAGGAGCGTGTATCGTTCCCCGGAATCGACGTCATGTCACCTGCTGCCGCGTGACGTCACGAGGTAACACTGCACTGAAATCCGAGGTGAGAACTTCTCATTGCGATTGTGGTTGTTGTGGTGGTGGTTGTGGTTGTTGTTTACCAAGGTAGAGCCTCGTTCTCTCCCTTGTAGGGATGTCAGTTGAGTAGCAGCGAGCATGGGAATCGATGTCCAGGTTGGAACTTTACAACGCGGGGCCTAGCCACGTGGGGCCTTGCCTCCTGCCCTCGCCTGATTGCATTCACTTTAATTATCTCGCTTAAGTTTAATTTGTCTTCACCCGGCTCGCCACTTTGTAACTTTTTTTATTGTAAATATTCACGCAGTTTTTATTTTTTTCACCAGGCCAAGCCCGCTTGAGCTGCTATACCGCTCTTGTTATCAGAAGCGACCTGCCCACAACAACAATAACAACAAGGTGGGACTTGATAATTGTTTTTTTACCCTTTTATTCGGCAACAAAACTGACACCTTTTTTACAAGGAGTCATGTTCACATTGACCACAATACCTGCGGTCGGAACGCAAACACAAAACAACAACTCTGATAATGTATGTGGCACTGTCCTTGAAATTGATTGGTCCACACCCGAGACAACTTTCTTTAGAGCCTCGTCTCACGTTGGTGTTGGACCAGAAGACGCCAAAAAGAAAGTTGTCTCGGGTGTGGACCAATCAATTTCAAGGACAGTGCCAATACATTATCAGAGTTGTTGTCTTTTGTTTGCGTTCTGACCGCAGGTATTGTGGTCAATGTAAACATGACTCCTTGTAAAAAAGGTATCAGTTTTGTTGCCAGATAAAAGGGTAAAACCAATGATCATATTTTGTCACCGGCAAATGAGGTTTCCAATGATGCAATGACCTGTGCGTTGTGAATGACACAACGTTATGTTTTACATCTGCCGTTTAGCAGACTGCGCATATTGTGAATGTTACTGGGGTAGCCAGATATGCCTGTCGGATTTTAACCTTGAACCTCTGCAACAAATAGAGAATGTGCTACCACATTCTTGGTTCTTTTGGTAAAGTCACGTAGATAGAAAACAAAAATAAAGAAAAAATGCGTTTATTTTTATTATTTAAATCGTCATTTTATTTTTTTCTTTAATGAAACATTTTAATTGACGTGACTCTTTAAATTTTGATTTAAAGCTTTCGTGACTGCAGTAATTCATATTCTTAGCTCTTTCGGTAAAAGTCACGTTGAAGGGAAACAATAAAATAATAATATATATAAAACAATACAAATTCTCACGACGTTTCGACCGTAACACAAACGGTCATCAGTTTGTGTTATGGTCGAAACGTCGTGAGAATTTTTATTGTTTTATATATATTTTATTGTTTCCCTTCAACGTGACTTGACGGAAAGAGCTAAGAATATGAATTTACGTGACTTGACGGAAAGAACCCAGAACATTAATTCCTGCAGTCGCGAACGTTTTGAGTCAAAATAGAATGCGCCACCACTCGGCTCGCCTCAATCTGCGTGGAGGCGTGGGGGTGGGGGTCAGCCTGAGAGAGTTTCTCACCGGCGCAGAACTTCCACGCAGAGGCTCCACGCAGCTTTGTGCGGAGCGACAGGCCAGGCAGCTCCCACACAGCGTGGTGCAGCTCGTTAACATTTATAGTCTTGCTTCTTTCGGTAAAGTCACGTAGATAGAAAATAACAAAAACAAGAAAATTGGAAAATAAATTGATGAAAAGATGCCCATTGGTCGACTGAGATGACTGTGCCCCCCACAGTGTACACACACACAGTGTACACACACACACACTGTACACACACACACAGTGCCCACACAGTGCACACACACAGTGTACACACACACAGTGCACACACACAGTGTACACACACACACAGTGCACACACACACTGTACACACACA